GCTGTCTGGCTCTTTCCCTCTGGGGATGTATGATGCACAACCCATATTAAACATGATAAAGAGGTATGACGAAGAGAAATTTGTCTCCTTGATGTTGTTGTTTTCATTTCTCACTACGCTGTTTTGATGTCTATCGTTCGTCTTGTAAATTCGATGGTTTACAATCTTGTTCATCCGCAGTCGGCTGTGTTTGACTCTCCACAGCTCGAGGCTTTGAATATTCCCAGGTTGTTTTTATCAGGTTGAGCCGCAATCACTCTGAGAGAACTGAATTAATAATAATGAGTAAAGCGAGTGGCACGCAGCAGGCGAGTGGCACAGATACTCTAATCGAGACACACTTGCAAGACCATTGCAAGAAAAGAGTTCACACTTGTAATGTTTTTTTCCATGTCACAATACAGTAGTGCCAACAAACATGCCCCTACCGCAGAAGTAATGGTTCCTGCTGGTAACAGGGGTGAAAATTCACACAATCGTATGCAAACAGTTGTGCATCTATTGACACCATAATGTTTTTATTAACAATGTCTTGAAAAACAGTTGCAAGAAGAAAAAAAATGTACTCACTGCAGCAAGTAAAACCCCACGGTGGAATTCTGAAAGAAATGTTCACTCAGCACAAGTGTTATTTATTATGATGTATATATGCCATTATAATATTAATATTTTGAATTAGCTTTTATCATTATATTTTCAGTTTTCATTATTACTACTTAGGTTTAATTTTTTTTAATCAACAAAATTCTTTTTGTTTTTTTAATGATGTTAACCCTGCTCAGCACATAAATAAATAATAATAAATAATAATAATAATAATAACAAATAAATGGATCCTGTTACAAACTCTAGTGATCTGCCCACCCTAGTGTAGAATATTAAAGCTCACTCCCGACAAAAAGGCCCTAAATAGTACACTAGTCAATAACAAATGATAGTGTCCATGATAAAGAAAGGAAATATCTTTTATAAATCTTGTTCAAGTTATTGTATATTTTCCAAGTTCTTTCAAATGTACTCTTCATCTTTTTGTTTCGTATGGTTTTGAAAAACCTTTATACCATTTGAAAGAAAAAAATTTCTTTTTGTCCTAAACTTTCATCTGTTGTAACCATCCATTAAAAAGTAATACAATTCTGTTTACACCTTGAATGTAAGTTTACAAAATTTATGAATTATTATTAAAAAAAAATACTTATTCATACAATTTACAGCAGTGTCCAGCTAAAATGAACACCAGTGGCAATAAACCACCAACAACTTTTATACATTTTCATAGAAATTATGATTACATGAGCAAATTATTTATTAATAATACTTGCAATGTAGAGCACTCAAGTAAGAGTCCTGTGAAACACGAGCTACGACATTCAATTAAAGAGCTCAAAGTCTTGTATCAGAAAGCTAAAATGGCATGGTTGCTTCAGAAAATGCATTTTTATCTTGTTTAGGGGCTGGTTTAATGTAAGTGGTACATTCAGAGCATTAACTTTTTAGCAACACTCACCATGCATTTCATTTCCGATACATAAACTAACATAGTAAAACATTGCCAGATAAAACTGAATGAGATTTTAATGCCAATCATTGGACATTTCATTTTGAAAGTGCCAAAAACATTCAAAGAAGCAACATAATATAATTATGCAGAAATGTCACGACTGGCACATTTTTCCAAAGAGCCTGGGTTAAAAATGATGCAGCCTTATAAGAGAGCAGCTATGAATCAGCCAATGAAATTGCAAGAAATTGGAAGGGAGCAACAGGAGGACCAGGCAGTGGGAAGCGGGAGCCAGAAAAAAAAAAAAAAAAAAAGTCAAACTGTCTCCCCAAGTCTCATCCATATTTTTCAGACCTTTTTGCCATCTTGTGCAAATCAGTGTGAAAGCAACCGCAAGTCCTTCATCCCTATTGTTTGTTGGCATGTTGTCATGAATAAACTCTCATGTTACTATGTGTGTGAGTTTTTGTGAGAATGTAATGTCGAGGAGGACAATGATCTTGAAACTGACACACCTAGTCAGTGATCTGTTGTGTAGAGTGCACACCAACACTTTTTGACGAAAAACAAGAAACTGTCTTTCAATGTGTGCATGGTGACAAGCTTTAGTCCTGTATTGTACGCTTGCCATAAGACAGCATTGCACATATCTGCTGCTGTAAAAAAAACAAAACAATATTTTTTATTTTTTTTCCTCTATGAGTATTTCGCATTAACATGGTAAGCAAGTGAACAGTCAGTTCTTGAATTTCACATGTAGGAAAATGGTCAAGTGAAAGGATCTGAGTGACTCTGACAAATAGGTTCAGCACGTTCTCACTCCCAACTCGTCACATATTGACGCTTGGTCAGGACCCCTTGGTGTCGCTTTTTGACGCTCAAGGTACCCCTTTAGTGTCATTTTTCGATGCACAGGGGTATCCTTTTAGCGTCACTTTTCAACATGCACGGTCCTCCATTGTTTTCAGTTGTTTGTCTTAATTTAATGGTTTGCATGCATTTGTAAAAAATAGAAATAATTTTATAGAAATGTATACTTTCATTGGAGCACCTAACCCCACCCCTACCCTAAACCTACCCAATTCTGAACAATATAAAACACGCAACAGGCAAATATAAGTACAGTCACAGGTATTTATTGCAAAATCTGACAATAAAAAAGCAGTATAAAAGCATTACAAACAAGTCATTTTGCATTCCAAGTCTTCAGAAGACATACAATATCTTTATGCGAAGAAGAGAGTAAAACATACGATTTTAATTGCTGAAAATTATCCCGCTCAGTTAACGCGCCCACATCTCATTCAAAAAGATACTCCCGTAGCACGCAATCGGCCATGAGACACACAGGAGCCAATAGCATTTCACAACCAAAGCTGACATAAGGCTTCTTCTGACAGCTTTTTTTGAGTTTGCACACAGAGTGCAGCACACAGGGTGAGCTTTACGGCGGACGGAGATGGCAATCGCGTCTATTCCTCTCACAAATCAATCGTTTTGCCTCGGAAGATTTGGAATATTAATACTTTTTGAATAAATTATGACTGTAGTTGTATATGCCTGTTATATCTTGTGTTTTATTGTCAAGCAATAAATATAATTTAATCATGACGATAAAATTCCCAGTGCCTTTCGCGTCAGCACATTGACGACAAGGGTTTCTTATTTGAAGCAATGGAGGTAACATTTGGAAACACTTTGTTTAAGGACCAGATCTCAATATTAACTAGCATGCATATTACTAGCATATTGGCTGTTTATTAGAAGTCAAGTCAAGTCAAGTCACCTTTATTTATATAGTGCTTTTAACAATACAGATTGTGTCAAAGCAACTGTACAGCATTAATTAGGAAAATAGTGTGTCATTAATGCAAAATGATAATAGTAAACACTCAATTTTCAGTCAAAGGCAGTTAGTTCATCATTGAATTCAGTGATGTCATCATCCAGCTCAGTTCAGTTTAAATAGTATCTGTGCAATCAAGTCGACGATATCGCTGGAAATTAAGTGTCCCCAACTAAGCAAGCCAGAGGCGACAGCGGCAAGGAACCAGAACTCCATCGGTGACAGAATGGAGAAAAAACTTTGGAAGAAACCAGGCTCAGTCGGGGGGGGGGGCAGTTCTCCTCTGGCCAGACGAAACCAGCAGTTCAATTCCAGGCTGCAGCAA